TCGTGAATTATCTTCACAAATATATTGAGGATTAAAACATTGGATACTTTTAAAAAGTGATAGTGCGTTATGTTGCCGAATATGTTTTAAAAATTTTGTATGCACTAAGTTAAATGCTTGTTCAAAAATTCTTTTAAAGTAATTGATATTTAATCGCTTCTGACTTATATAGGTAATCATCTCATTTGAGAATGGCGGAGTAGTAATTCCATTTTGAAGTGTTTCTTGCATTTTCTGGATTCATGGGAAAACCATTGGTGCAATTGGGATATTTCTAATTTGAAAGAAATCTAAATCATGCATTAATCTAAAAAAAAATAATTTATTAATATATATATTTAATATATTTTAATTAAATAATAAACATACTGTTTTCCATTAAGCATAATGAACATAATAATTAATTCGATTTGAGTGATTATATCTGGTTAAAAAAACCAGTCAACAAGATTAATAATAGCTTTTGAAGAATCGGAAAGATCTTTTTTTCTTGATAAAAAGTAATCAAGCATTTTAGATATGGTTTCATTCAGTTAATAAACTGGAACCAAGAAAACCATCAAGTTTTAACAGATAATGAAGGTAACGTTAATTGAATATCTTCATCATCTAATGCATATTGAGTAAAATGATTTAAGCATTGTCTTTTTCTAGGAGATGAATGAACAAAAGTAGATTTAATAGCAATAACAATTTTATCTAGAATTTGAAAATTTTCATATTCGAGTCAAGTATTTCCAACTAAATTATAAATATATACAAAGCAAGTATTATGTTGCATTTATAGAATTAATAATAATAAAATATCAGAAAATAATTTTTTTATATAACTTATATTATCACTAATATATAATATAATATTATTAAATAACAAATAGAGTTTCTATGAACTGAACTAAACTAAACTGAATATTTTTAAAAACTAAAGTTCAGTTTAGTTCAATTTTTGAACTTTTTAAATTAGTTCAGTTCAGTTCAGGTTCAGTTCAAAGTTCATGAATATGTTCAGTTCAGTTTAATATATTTTTATATAAATAATAAAATAATTTAGAATATTAAGTTAGAATTTATTAGTAAAATTTTGAGAATAATAATATTCTTTATAATTTTACTAATAAAATTATAAAGAATACTATAATTCTCAGAAATTTATTAATGTATTCTAAATTCATACTCTAAGTAAATTTGTTCTATACATAAAATTATATTAAGATGGCATATTTTACTTTACACTTAATAAATTTTAAAGAGAAGATGCTTAATTTTAGTTTTTTGATAAAAATTTTTATTAAAAATTCAAAATTAAGCATCTTCTCTTTAAAATTTATTAATTATAAAATTAAATATATTATTCTAATATAATTTTATATATAGAACAAATTTACTTAGAGCATAAAAAAAGAATACGTATTATTTATTTTCTGGTGAAGTAGAAATTATAGCAGTGGGATGGCCCAAAAGGTCATCCCACATGCTATGATCATCAGGAACCTCTGCTATAATTTTCCTCCAGAAAATAAATAAATAATCCCCAAAAGCATGTCACTAGATGTTAATCGAACTGCCATGCATTATTACCTTTACATATGATTGATTATATTAATATTTTCATATCTTCGCTTGCTACACTTATTTTTGCTTATCATAATTTTATCACATAATAAACTATGAAATATAAATATATCAATTAGAATTTTTATTATGCATGATTTTTACAAGCTTCACTTTTCTTTTACTGTGCTTAACTTTACAGGCTTCACTTTTATAGGTTTATTTTTATTTTTAATTTATTTTAGCTTTTCTTTTTAACTTTTATCAATTATTCTTATATTTTTTTTTCACTGTACATTCTTTTTTTTACTTAAATAGAAAATGACTAAGTGTAGTTCTCAATTTGTCTCATCAACTAGAGAAGAAATTAAGAAAGTTCAGCAAGCCTCATGTAACAAGAATACTGACAAGTCTGTAAAACAATAGATGACTTTATTTATCAAGTTTCGTAACTTACATAGATACTCTCAAGAAATTATCGAACTAGATAATAATACATTATCAGATCAATTAAAACAATTTTTAGTTGAAGTTCATAGGTCGAATGGTCAGGAATATAAAGCCTCTTCACTTTATACTGAATTTTCTGCTATTGCATGAGGAATATCTGAAACTTTTGAAAAAGTATGAGTTGTAAACATATTTGACAAGCACCAGTTTAGAAGCTTACATTGCACATTGGATGGTTATATGAAATCAATTATTGAAAAAGAAAACAAGAATTGTAAACAATCAGATCCATTGGAAACTGAAGAGATTAAATTTTTACTTGACTCACCTGTTATAACAATTAATACTCCTAAAGGTTTTTTGCGAAGAGTTTGGATTTGGCTATCATTATTGTGCTGTTTGAGAGGCGGTGATGCTAAGCGATTAAAAGCATCTTGGATTAAAGAATTAGACAATGGAGGAATGCAACTCGAGTTACCTAAAGAAAAAAATCATGCTAGTGAGTTAAAGATCCGTATGCAGAAGCTGGCATTAGTTTTATTCCTTCTGATTCTTTAGGAAATGCATATATACCAGTTACTGATATTAAAAGATATTTATTAAGATGTTCAAATAATGTTGAAGATGATTATTTTTTTGTCTCAATTAATGTTCTAAAAAAAGTTTACCATGGTGAATGGTATCTGTTAACAAAACTAGGAAAGTGCTCTTATGATGCAATGATGCATTCAATATGTGAGAAGGCTAAATTGGATTTTAAGAGTCATAATATTACTAATCATTCAATGAGATCAATGGGTATAAAACTTCTGCACTTATATGTAGTGCAACAATGTTTTTGTTTTTTTTATTGTACAACTTATTAATATATACAATTTGATATTCAGATATTCATAGTCTGGTTGAATCTGGTGTGACACTTGATAAGCAGATGCTTTTCTCATAACATAAAACAATCACAGGAGTATCGGCTTATCAACTTCAATCTATAAAACGTAAAATAGATAATGTTTCTTATTTAATTCCTACTGAAGAAACAGGTAAATTTTTATTCAATTACTTTGAATTATACTTTTATCTAACTATACATTAAGTATTATTCATTACTGTTAATTAGAATTCCATTTAGTACTAAGAGATTCAACATCCACTCATAATAATCAAATTGGTAATATTGAAAATTCAATTTTTTAATTTATTACAATTTTTAATATATAATATATATATGTTTTTTAGGATTTTCTAAAATGTCTGATTTACTCTCAACTATGTTAAATAAGAAAACCAAAACATCTGAAGATAGAGAATTAGATGACCAAAAACCAAGTACCCCAAGAATCTCGATTGAGAACTGTAGTAATATAAGTATTAACATTATTATTAATACTGTATAATAAGCTTGTAACCTAATAATGCTATGCAAGATTAATATATAAAAAAAAAAAGTGAATATATATGAACAATTTACTTCAAATAGCTGATATAAATAAAAATATCTGATTAAGTAAAGTTCTTGGTTTCAAGAATAAGAATTTAAAAAAAATGCCTGATCTAATTGAAGCACATAGCTCAAAGTATAAGAATTTTTAAAACAAATACCCGATTAGTTAAAGCTCTTGATTTTAAAGAATGAGAATTTAAAAAAAATACTTAATCTGATTAAAGCTTCTAGCCCAAAGTAAAAGAATCAAAAAAAATACCTGACTAATTAAAGCTCTTAGTTTCAGAAAATGAGAATTTAAAAAACATACCCGATCCGATTAGGGCTCCTAGCTCAAAGCATGAGAATTTTAAAAATATCTGATATAGTTAAGAATTTCTTGTCCAAAAACATGAGAATTAAAAAAAAAAATCTGATTAGTTAAAGCTCTTGATTGAAAGCATAAGAATTTTAAAAAAAAAATACTGACTTCATTAAAGCTGCTGGTCCAAAGTGCAAGAATTTAAAAAAAGTACTCTATCAAACTAAAACTCCTAGCCTTAAACATAAGAATTAAAAAATATATCTGGTAGCATAAGAATTTTAAAAATTTCTTTAAACCAAATTAAGATTAATGAATTAGAGATTCCTGATGATCATTATGAGACCAGAAATCTTCTGTAGAAAGCTTCTTGATCACAATATGATCATCATAAATATAGTCAATCATGTGTAAAAAATTATCATGAAGGCAGTTATGAGTAACACTTAGTGTGACAGGGAATTAATTAATAAATTTCTGAGAATTATAGTATTCTTTATAATTTTATTAGTAAAATTAGAAGAATACTACAATTTTTAAAATTTTACTAATGAATTCTAACTTAGTATTCTAAAGTTATTTTGTTCTATATATAAAAATATATTAAACTGAACATGTTCATGAACTTTGAACTAAACATTGAACTGAACTTTTATTATATTCAAGTTTAGTTCAGTTCAGTTTAAATATAGTTCAAGTTCAGTTCAAGTTCAAAATTAGAAAGTTCAGTTCAGTTCAGTTCAAGTTCAATTAAACTGAACTAAACTTATTTGAACTGAACTGAACTTTAGAAACCCTATATAAACTTGATGGTATATTTTTTTTATAATTTTAATTACAAAAATTTTTACTAATTAAATATTCTTTAAGCTCTTAAGTAAAGTTATAGAGTAGGTTTTTGTAATTTAATAGTAATAAAATTATTAAAATTGGTTCAAAACTTATTGATATATGAATTTTTAAAAATTAGATATAAAAATTTGAGAAATTTTATTTTCATCTAGGTAAGCATCACCTACCAGTCACAATAGTATATAAAGATCAGCTGATCACATAACTTACATTTAACTATAATCAATAAAATTTCATTATATGAATAAAAGTGCTAATCAACTAATTTTGTTTACATAACTGCTAAGTATATACTTCATCTTGATTACAGTCTACTGCTACAGTTTTGGCCAATAAAATTTCAGTATTAAGCTATGCATATTATTTAAATAGATTATTATGTAGTATGTATGTACATACATATGTATATACCTATAAATTGGAGTTATAATCCAAACTCACTAATTGGAATTAGCTAAAATCTCAAATAGTATATTATTGTGCTTTGCAAAAAGATGTAGTCTTAGCAGATTACAATATCATATAAAAATTAGTAATTTTATAAATTTTAAAATTTTACTAATTTCAAAGAAATATAAACATAACCAATCAAAAATATAAAAAAATATAAAGTAACAGACAATTTAAAGTCTCAAAATTTCCTGATTATTATCATGAAAATTATGTAACTGCATCTTTTTGCAAAGCACTATAAGGCATTCTGGTTGTACAATAATTTGAAATCAGAAATTGAAACATGATTTTTGCCTAATTCATTTGTCAATTAACAATTACATTGTTTATATGTATAAAAATATCCACTTTACAATATGTTTAGCATATTTGAATATTTGATTGGTTTTGAGTTTAATACTCTTAACTAAAATAAAACACATGCTTTGAATTTAGATTATTTTTCCAAATAAATATGTATACATGTAAGAATTCCAATTTCCAACTTAGATTACAATCTATAAGAAGTCATAAACTATTCCTTGATCTTATTCAAGTGCACTATATTATCCAAATTAGTCTATATAATATATTAATATTTTAAACTAGAGGTGTGATGACTTAGTAAAATGAATAAGTTGTCAACCTTCCAAGTGGTAGGTTGGGAGTTCAAAATCCACCGATGGTGAAAATTTAGAAAACTATCAATGTATATTAGTATTACAGACATCTGTGCAATGTTTGAGTTACTCAGAGAAATGCAAACTGGCATTGGGTGATGCAAACTCAAGATAAGTCCTTGTGTTTGGTATTATGGCAATGGCAATCTGTTGATCAGTTGGGATCAGTACCTGTAACATGGTCACATCAGATAACTGGCAGGTCATAAGTTATTTGTGCAATATTAGAGTTATACAGAAAAATGCAAACTGGCATCAAATAGTACAAACACAAGATAAGTCCTTGTGGCCAGTTAAATCTATGAACTGGGAAAACCGGAGCCCACTTGGGAAACCCTGAGTAAAGAGGTAATACAGATCTTTAATAGTACTACTGTAAAGGCTAGACCTTAGAAACAGATACTAATATAGAAGAAATCAGGCAGGCAAGAATCTCGGGTGAGAGATACCACCAACCAGGCCATTAGAAATCTCGAACCAGAAGAAAAGAATCTTGAAGGGCAGACTTTGGAGTACCAGGAACAGGTCACAGTCCTACTGAGCTATCTGGATTGGGAGTCTGGTTTTGGAAGCAAGGTATACTATAAGTATTAGAAATATGTTATGAAGTCAGTACTAAGGTTTGGGTGAACTTTACAAAGATGAGCTCTGTTAGCAAAGATTAAATATGGGTAGTTAGTTAGCAGAGGGGCCCTCTGAAGCCCTATAGTTAGGTAACATACTCTGAAATATATAATGACCTGACAGATGTACAGACAGGAAAGTTAAGGTTAGATTAGATAGTATCTAATTAAATGTACAGAAGCTTGTGCTGCTATCTGCTAGTGTAGTATAGAGGTAACCTTGTACAAGTTATATAATCATAATTGAAT